GGAGAGGAGGGGGAGGGGGGAGGGGGAGGAAGAAAGGAAAGGAGAGGAGGGGGAAGCAGAGGGGAAGGGGACAGGGAGAAGAGTGACTGAAACTAAGAGCTTGCTCTAGCTGGGTCTGGAGGTCAGTGGCTGAAAGCTTGGTCTGTCTGTGGCACTCCTGGGAGGTGTTGGGGCCTTCGAGAGGTGGCCCTAGTGGGAGGTCCATGAATCCCTGGGGATGTGCCCTTGGGAAGCACAGTGGGACCCACTCCTGTGGTCCCTGGCCATGAGGTGAGCTGCTTTGCTCTGCCACATGCAGTCACCAGGATGAGCTGCCCCAGCACAGGCCTAGAAAACGGGGCCAGTCAATCACAGAGGGAGGGAGATCTCCAAAATTGAGCTGCAGTAACACTCTCTTCCTTATAAGCCAACTACCTCAGGCCTTTGTGACAGGGAAGGAGGATGACCCACAGTGCTATCTAAGTTTCTATAAATCACTGCGGCTCTGAGAGGTGAGGGCCGTCCATCGAGTCAGTCAGGAGCTGGGAGTCCAGCCCACGCCGGGTGACTCCAGAGCCTGGGGACATAGCTATCCAGAGCCATGGGGCCAGGACCGAGCCTGGGTGCACCCTGCACCCGGCTTCTCATCTGCAGGCCTTTCTGTTGGGGGCAAGCGGCTCTCCACTCCCCAGAGGGTCTCGCTCTCTGAGTGAGGGTCTCAGGGCTCTGAGCCTTCTAAGGAGGACCAGAGGGTGATGTTGCTCTACAGTTTTACAAGATATGACCGCTGGGGAGATCTGGGGGGTCCAGGGATCTCTGTTACTCCTACGCCTAAAGGCAAATCTAAGATTATCTCAAAATTTTAACTTCAAAGAGGAAGAAAAAAGAGAATCTAGGAGTCTGACTTTGAGGGACTACTTTCCGCCCGGTTTCCACGCACCTGTATTTGGGACTGAACGACACGGAAACTTGGAATGTCCAATCAGTCCCCGCAGAGGAAAGGCCTCGTCCTTCTAGAAAACCCAGCACTTGGGGATACCTAGCCGCCACTGCCTCATGCGTTAGTAACGGTGACCTTCATTTACTTGAGAGAAATGTCCTCCTCCTGTCGACAGAGCCTGGCCTACTTCTAGGAAACACCTCACCTGTCTCTGCCCGCAGAACTTCCCGTACAGGATGGGGGTTAAAGGGTGAGCACTTAAACCTGATGTCGGAGACACTGGAAAAACGCATTTTGCAATGACCACAGCTGCCTGAGCGCGGCCCAGGTTTGCCTTTGCTCTTCTGGGCCAGTGACTCACACCTGGAGAAAGGTACCTGAGCTCCATACCTTGTCCCCTCCCTGCTGGAGATCAGGTGACATCACAACGCAGGCAGGTCCTTCGCTCACTGTCTCTCATGGTGTAGGCACCCCAGCATTCATACCATCAGAAGTAGGGCGCGGGGCGTAGGATAAATATTTTGAGAGAAAGACCGTGTTGACTTGACTTCTGTTACAGCATGGCATTATAGTTGTTCTATTTTATTAGTTAGCTATTATGGATATTCTCTAACTGTGACTAACCTGTGAATTCTGCCTTGTCCTAGCTGTGTGTGTGAGTGTGTGTGTGTGTGTGTATGTGAGTGTGAGTGTGTGTGTGAGTGTGTGTGTGTGTGTATGTGAGTGTGTGTGTGTGTGTGTGTGTGTGATGGTTGGGATATTAAATGTCTCTCAAAAGCTCATGGGTCAAAGGCTTGGTGTCCAGCGCCCCTCTTTGGCCAGGCGAAAGCCCTCCTGCCTTGCTCCATGCTCCTTGGTGGCCGTCCACACCTGCACCTCTTTTGATGATAAGTCACTGTATCGAAGGCAGCCCTTCCATGTGGGGACACATGTAGCTAACCACTCCCCACATAAGAATCTGTCGTCCCTGATGGGAACGAGAGGCAACATGTGCCGGGAACCTGCCTGCCAGGACCTGGGCCAGGCCCTCCACACACGGCTCGATAGATACCAAGAGCGTCCTTGCAGGTTATCATCAGAGTTTCCATTTCAGAGGTGCCATAACTGAGGCCCAGGGAAGGATTTAATCTCCCCAGGTCAGAAGTCAGTAAGCAGCAAGGCTGCATTTCAATCCACATGGTATGGATTCTGGTTTCTCGAGCCATGGAACCTTGCCCTGTCCATCTCAAAAGTGAAAAAGTCAAGGCCGAACATCGAGAGCCGGTTAGGGGCCTCTGAAGACCCTCCCCTTGAGGCCAGGCTCTCCAGTGACTCCCCAGGCCACCCCTCTGAAGAGTCCACAGACGCAGGGTGCTACCCAAGTGCATGATCTGAAACGTGGCCATTGCCAAGGTGAACAGGGCCAGGGGCCATCTGGAGTCCACTGTCCCCAGCTGGACACAGCCTTACCAACACACAGCCGGAACCTCGGCTTGCTCCAGCCACAGAAGGACTGGTCACTCCATGATAAAGCAGAACTGAAGCGAGGCCGCTCTCCTGTGGCCCCCTCCCACCGACCCCACCCCTCTCCCATTTAGTTTCCAGGGGTTGATGAGCCCCTACAGAATGCGTCTGGGAGCCGACAGCTGCTTTTATATATAGATTCAGAGCCTCTTTTCACTGTCATTAATAAAAATTGGGCCATGTGACACCTTACAAATTCTCATAAATCTGGGGCCAAGTTTCAGCTCAGTGTTGACAGTATTCTTGGCTCTCGACTGTGTTTTGGATTTGTCCTGGGAGAGGGAGCCTGCAGGGAAGTAGGAGTTTGACTCTAGCTCCCCATGACCTTGGGCGGTGTAATCTCCCGAGTCTCAATTTCCCCCCTTGGAAACCGAGAGTGTCATAGTTGGTTTTACAGGGCGCTTGTGACCACACAGTGCCACAGGGAATGTGGAGCACTCAGCACGGCGCCTGGCGCAGCTGAGAAGCTCCGCAGATGCTGCTGCTCTCTTGGACACCAGGGGCTTTTCCACCCAGAGCTCTGAGG